AGGAAGGAAGGAAGGAAGGAAGGAAGGAAGGAAGGAAGGAAGGAAGGTAGCAATAGCACTTATATACCACTTCACAGTGCTTTGCAAGCGGTTACAGGGTCAGTCTCCTGCCCCCAACAATCTGGGTCCTCATTTTACCCACCTTGGAAGGAGGGAAGGCTGAGTCAACCTTGAGCCTGGTGAGATTTGAACTGCCAAATTGCAGGCAGCTGGCAGGCAGCAGAAGGAGCCTGCACGACTGCACTCTAATCACTGCACCACCGTGGCTCATCAAAATGGTCATGTCACTTTTTTCAATGCTGTTGTAATTTCAAATGGTCACTAAATGAACTGTTGTAAAACAAAGGCTACCTGCATAGGTCTCAGAAACTATACTCCAGCATTTTTTTAAAAAAAAAATCCAGGATAAGGCTTGGAAAAAAAAATTCTTCTCCTCTACAGTCTCTTACTCATGCATGCCACTTTTACACATAAAACATAATGCCACGTTCCTGGCTGTCAAGTCCATCAGAAACAGTAAAAAGAAAGGAAAAACAGTAATAAAAAATGAAGAGTTAAGTCTAAGAGTGTTAAAAAGACTTGTTTCCTGTTCTCCAATGTCACTGCAAATCGCACAAGCACTTAGAAACCAGTGATTTGAGCATAGCGCATCTTTATTAAATTATGGAGGTTTTTTTTCCTTTATTTAAAATATTTAGAGTTCGTTTACAATCCAGAGGAACGTAAAGAGGGTTATAAGTTATAAAAAAGTAAATTGTAGCAATACCAGCTGACTTACAAAGGAAGGGACTACAAAACCTGGGTTTCCTCCCAGTTGCACACTTCCACTTTGGGCCAGTTGAAACGGTCCTTTCCCATTGTCTGGGGCCTGTGTGGGTCCAATGGAGGATTATGGCTTTTTTGAGAAGACTGGGTGGCCTGAGGGGAAGAGGCCTCTTTTCCCACCCTTAACTCTGCCTAGGGATACTTTCCCCAGGGAAGTTGAAGGGGAATTTGGGGTTTCTCCTGGACTTACAGCTCCTACTCCAAGAGCAGATGGCAGCTGCAGCTAAGGAGACTTTTGCACAGGTTCAGCTTGTGCCCCACCATTTCTGAACCAGGAAGCCTTGCTCACAGTAACTCATACCTCACACAGCAACTCTTACCTTAATCATCTTCCATTTGGATTGCTCTAAGATGCTCTATATTACAAAGTAAGATACTTTATAAGGGGCATTCAGAAGCTGTAACTGATCCAGTTCAGGCAGGTTCTGCATCTTTCATAGCCATATAATGCCACTGCTCTGATTCTAGTAGGCTCCTGGATGTGGTTCAAGGTGCTGGTTGTTGCCTATAAAGGCCTACATGGCATACGATTGGGCTATGTGGGAAAAGATGATCAAGCAACGGATTTGTGAGTGCCTAGAGTGGACAAGCTGATTACTAGAAGCCAGCGTGGGTTTCTTAAAAGCAGGTCATGCCAAACAAGCCTTATCGCCTTCTTCGATAAAGTGACTAAATTACTGGATAGAGGAAACACTTTGGATATAGCATACGTAGACTTCAACATTTGACAAAGTAGATCCCAACCTACTTCTTCGTAAGATAGAACAATGTGGCATAGTACAATGAATAGCTAAGGGAAGTAGGTATGTTTAGCCTAACAACGAAAACGCTTAGGGAAAACATAGCTGTCTCCTAACATTAGAAAGGCTGTCACAGGGAAGAGTGTGGTGATTTATTCTCCACAGCACCTGAGGGCAAGACAGGAAGCAATGGGTGAAAGCTTGTCAGAGGGAGATCCTACCTGGAAATAGGGAAGGATTTCCTTAATCAATGGAACAGCTGCCTCCTGGAGTTCTTAGTGCTCCATTGCTAAAAGTTTTCAAGAAAAGTTTGGACAATCATTGGTCCAGGATGGAATAAGGACCTTGGGCAAGGGGTTGGATTAGAAGATCTCCAAGATCTCGTCCAGCCCTATGAGTTGATGTTTACCTCTATTTGTGGGACCACATTTCTCCCAATAGTTTGTAAGCGTTTAAATCTAAATGTCTTTCTTCTCTTTTTCTTTCCGAATTTAACATTGTAATTGTAATAAAGAAAAAAAAAATAGAAAAAAGAAAAAATTGCCCCCCTCTTTCAGTTTACACCTTCTTTCCTTCTTCTCTGAAGTTATTCTAAGTTGATTTCAACTTTAATTATTAAACACTTAAAATTTTATGAAGTTAACAATCAACAATTGAAAAGAGGAAATTTCAATCTGTTTGGAAATTAGGAAAGCAAAGGCTCAAAATGAACGAAGACTTGCAACAAAAGTCAAAGATAATCTTAAAAATTTTCTTTCAACATATAAATAAGAAAAAAGTCAAGGAACCAGTAGGCCCACTTAAGAGAAGATGGCAAGGAAATAACAGGCAGAACTGCTTAATTCATTTTTTGCATCAAACTTCACACAAAAAGGAATATAGCCCAACCTACCTAAAACATAACTGTAAAAGACAGATTAAAAATTAAAATTAAAATAAGCAAGAAAATGGTTAGAGAACACCTATCTGATCTTGATGAATATAAATCTTTGGGTCCTGATGGATTACCTCCCAGCGTTCTGAAGGAACTGGCAGATGTTATCTCAGAACCATTGAACCGTATCTTTCAAGGATCCTGGAGCACCTTGGAATTACCTGAGGACTGGAAAAGAGCTGATGTGGTTCCCATCTTCAAAAAAGGAAAGAAAGGCAGACCAAGAAACTATAGACCAATCAGCTTAACATCAGTACCTGGGAAGATACTGGAAAAATAATTAAAAAATATATCCGTGAACATCTAGAAATAAATAAAGTTATAACTAAAAGCCAGCATGGGTTTGTTAAAAACAGATCATGCCGAACCAATCTTATTTCATTCTTTGACAAAGTAACTAAATTAGTAGATCAGTGAAATACTGTGTATACTTAAGACCTCAGAAAGGCATTTGACAAAGTGGACCACATACTATTTCTTGCTAAGCTAGAAAAATGTGGGATAGGTAGCATCCCCACCAGATGGATTTGTAACTGCTGACAAACCATACTCAATGAGTCATCCTTAATCTACATGGAGGGAAGTAAACAGTGGGGTACCACAAGGTTCCATCTTAGGCCCAACACTCTTCAATATCTTCATAAAAGACTTAGATGAGGGAATAGAAGGGGAACTCATTAAATTTGCAGATGACACTAAGCTGGCAGGAATAGCCAACACCACAGAAGACAAACTCAGGATCCAAAAGGATTTTGACAGACTTGAACAATGGGCCCTATCTAACAAAATAAAATTCAATGTATAGAAAAATGAGGTTTTACACTTAGGCAGGAAAAACCAAAGGTACAAGTACAGATTAGGTGAAATCTGGCTCAAAAACAGTAAGTGTGAGAGGGATCTTGAGTCCTAGTGGATATTCATTTAAATATGAGCTATTAGTGTGTGGCGGCAGCCAAAAAAAGCAAATACAATCCTTGGTTGTATAAACAGATGCAGTGGTGGTAGTCAGCCGGTTCGCACTGGATCGGGCGAACCGGTAGCAAGAATTTGGTGTGGGTCGCCGAACCGGTAGTAAGTTCTGGCTGGCCACGCCCCCCCACCCGGTCACCCTCCTGCCCGATGCTCGCTCACCCCGCTCGCCTGCCTGACATTCGCCTAAAGTATTTTTTTCTTTTTTTCCCTCCTGACAATCAGCTGTAGATTTGATCAGCTGCGCCGGGATTCCCCTTGCTGAGGCCCAGGAAGGCAAAAAATGGAGGGAGGAGCTCAGGCCCCCCCTTCAATTTTTTGCCTTCCAGAGCCCCAGAGGAGCCTTAGGGGAGCAAAACGCCCCCCAGAGGCTTTTCTGAGGCTAGGAAGCTCCCAAAAATGGGCGGGCTGCAAAAAAAAAAAGAGAGAAAGCCACGCCCACCCAGTCACATGGCCACGCCCACCATGCCACGCCTACAGAACTGGTAGTAAAAGTTTTTGAATCCCACTACTGAACAGAGACATAGAATCAAAATCAGTATTAGTACCACTTTATAAAGCTTTAGTGAGGCCACACCTGGAATACTGTATCCAGTTTTG